CCCCCTTCTGTCTGTTCCATCTTGTAGATTTCCTTTCTTGTAGATTTCACAATCTCTTATTTTGCCTGTTGCTCAGTATGCAAATAGGCTTACAATGTGGGGCTTACAATATACAAACAATCAGACAGGGAGATGTGCGTCTGTTGCTTCCTGTCTGAGAGAAATATGTCTGAGGTACACTACCTCCTCGTGACTTGCCTTAACTCTAAGACCTTAAGAACATAATTTTTAGTATAAGTATATAAATCCCTATATATACATTGCATATGATGAGCAGTGAACTACTTGGTCTCAGCAGAGACGTCACATGCCACTTTTTGATTCACTATTATGCACATATCCGAGCTAAGGTGTGCTTGAGTCACAGCTACTCATGAATATCCATTTTCTTGTGAAAATCCCAGTAGGTTTCTTACTAGGGATGTCAAGGACTAGTCAACTATCCGATAAGCAAATGCTTATCGGACAAGTCAACAGGATAGTTGACTAGTTGTTTCCCCACCTTGCTGCCTCTATCACATAGAGGCAGCAAGGGAGGGGGGGAACAGAGGGGTACTTCATAGTGGCAGCGCTGCACGGAGCCCAGAGTCCCGGGCTCCATGTGATGTTGCTGCTTTGAAATGCCACAGCAGCATTTCAAAGGGGCAGCACCGCACAGCTGATCCTGGGCTCTGCGCAGCACTGCCCCTTTGAAATGCCACGGTGGAGTTTCAAAGGGGCAGCCGCTGCACAGAGCCTGGGATCAACTGGAGCTAACCCTGGGCTCTGTGCAGCGCTGCTGCTTTGAAATGCTGTGGCAGTGTTTCAAAGGGGCAGTGCCACCCTATCAACTAATCGAATAGTCGATGCAAAAATGCATCGACTATTTGATTAGTGAATTACCTGATACTTAATGTCCTTATTTCTTACCCACTCAGCACTCCCAACATTTAACAAAGAGGAGAAAGAACCCATAAGATACTCTTTAAACTAACACTACAGGCAGAAATAATGTTAGTAAAATCCCAGCCTTTCCTTATTTGCTTACAGTTGGTTCAGAAAGGCTCCTGCGATCTTCCAAGATTGGTTCTACGTAGCTTGCCCACATTATGAAATGTTGTCCCCTAATCCGAGAGGAAGTCAGAATTTTTATTTTTCTGTAATAGAAATTCCTAGATTTCAATCTGTGGCTTGTTACAGGACATCTGCTTGCAAGCTCTCATTCAAACAATTAAGAATATGGTTCTTGAAAGCACAAAACATCTGCAATGGCAATTTGGAGCAGAGCACTTACATAAAGTGTCTTTTTTTAAAAAAGAGACATTAAATATTTTGCTTTTGTTTATGAAATAAACATAAAAGGAAGCAACTAGGGGAGCACAGAGAGTTGCTACAGTTTACATTGAAACAAAGGACATAACTATGCCTTGGCAATAGGAGGCTAATGGCTGCTTAATTTCTCCGGACTGGAACTTGCAGCTCATTATGTTTTGTTTTGCTCCAGCTTTTAAGGATGAGAATGTTGTGTCTGATGCATGTCAGCAAGGAAATAGGATTCACTAGCACAGCTGAGTTCATTTCACTCCCCAGTGAAGAGCATTAACTGTCTCTCACTTCACCAGAGAAGGAGGAGGGGGTGTTTTCAGCCTGGGAGAAGTGCGAAGGCATTGTCAGGTTTAGGTCAGGCTGTACCAGGGGGCTGTGTGGCTCTTTCAACAGGATAGATTAGTTTGATGTCAGTCGCCAGCCTGGAGGCAAAGCACAGAAAAGGAGAGAGACACCAGAAATGGGGTGCGAGAGACAGGGGGAAGTAATTGCCACGTTTCGTTGTGGTGCAAGGCTATTCTCTCTGACAGTGACCTTTGTGGAAAACAGATTCAGAGAGACTGGTTTTTGTAAGAGGCCGTATCAAGGAAATTGGACCGGAAAGGAAATGACCATATTTTAGTCCTTAAACTGTAACTAACGTTGTGGCTGTCTCACCTTGAGCTTTTAAAAATGTTTCTCCATGAGATTTCTGTTCAGTCATGTACCAATTCTGACGATAACAAGGCCTGATCCTACAGTCCTTACTGAGTCATACTTCAAGAAAGATGACATTGGATGGGACTATTCATAAGAGCAAGGGGTTCAAGGTTGGGCCCATTCTCTGCATTCCTTACTACTGTGCTTTCCTACTGTACATAGTTCAATAGTGCCTTACAAGGTCTCAGGATTAAATGAGTCACAGCATACCCCTGTCAGGTAGATGCTGTGCACATGGGAATATTCAGAAGCTTCAGGGGGTAGCTGAGTTGGTCTGTACACGATAAACTTAAAAAACAACAAATGGTTTGTTCGCACTTTGTAGACTAACAAAAACATGTACATGGTATCATGAGCTTTTGTGGACACAGTCCACTTCTTCAGATGACTCCGAAGAAGTGGGCTTGTGTCCACAAGAGCTCATGATACCATGTACATGGGAATATGTGAGACAAAGAGCCAGATTCAGAGTTGAGTCTAAATTGACATAATTTACCCATGTGGACTGTTCACAAGGTATGGATTATGCTAATGCAATGTATCTTAGACTGACACATCACCGTGGAAATTCACCCAGATTTTTATACTGCTACATGACTAAGTGAGTCATGTAGATGGGCCAAAGCAAGTTGCACAAGATCACACAGGGAATCAGCGGCAGAGCTGAAAATAGAAATCAGGTTTCCCTGGCTTCAAGGAGTAAGCCCAAGACCAGATCTTCCTCTTGTGCTCAGTAATGTTCCCTCTTATTTTTCCACCCATGTATGGAATTAATTTTGTTATATGCACCAAGGCATGTGCAGATGTGCACCACTAGTAGAAACACATGCTGCTGTGGACAGCTGTGGGCGCTTTGCTAATCAGCTGGGCATCACTTGAATCTCTCCTGAGTGGCCACCCAAGTGCACAGCTTACAGGGAACACTGGTGCCCAGTCCCTGGCCTGACCTTATGAAGATCTGTTGAGACAATCCCCTTCCTCCTTTTCATTCAGAAGCATGAAAAAAATCTTCTAAAATGATAGCTTTGCCACCATTCATGCACAAAGGCTGTGAAGTTCATCACAGCTTGACTGAATTCCACTAGCAGAGCTGTGCAAAATGTTCAATACTTGAGTCTTGACTCAGCTAGTTCAGACTCAAACTAAATTCAAAGTTTGCTGTGTTCTGCCCTGCTTGCAAGGGTGTGGAAATTCCAGTAGCCTGAATAAAATCATTTCAGAGGAGTGGGTTCAGCCCACGAACGAGTAGGGGTCAGGCTTAAAGCTTGGATCATTATCCAAAGTTTGGTGTGGGGGTGAGATGGGGTTAGGGCTGGAGCTAGGCTTGATTCAAGACCATCTCTATGTAGAGTGTTTAAAGGGGCTAAACACACTAAAGAATATTTTGGGACATGTGTTATATTTTCTGAGTATTACAGGACTGTGAATTTTATACTACACATTCTAGAATGCTGAGTATGTAAAGCGACAAGGAGTCCTGTGGCACCTTATAGACTAACAGATGTATTGGAGCATAAGCTTTCATCAGATGCATGTAAAAAATACTGTTAAATAATGGGGGCTTGATGACCATGACTTTTCATTGCCATTGCCATTTTGAAAAGAAAAAGAAATATTCAGCATCACTTAACAAAACATTCAGGACTTTTCCTTTTGAAATTATGGGGGAAAGGCCAAAACAAAGCCAACAATTTCAAAGTGAAAAATTTCATTTTATCATTTGTTCTTGAAAAATTGATATGTTTGTGAAAACTTGTGTGAACCAAATGAAAATCTTGTCCTACCCCCTACCAATTATAATTATCATTTTTTGACCATCTCTAGTCTTCCGGCTGTAGCCTGACCTTTTCTTTGTTATTGGTACAAGTCAGGGGTAATTAATTTAAATGATATGACATTTTGTTATCCTTAGAGGTGCTCTCTAAAAAGGATGATTTAACATATTGTACTAGACTGCAACTGGAACATCTTTATATGTTAACAGTTACAGAGGAGGAAGCACTTTTGTTCTATTTTCAGCACTATTTTGACATGCTCTGATCTTTAAAACAAAAGACTGGGCTGTTTTCTAAACACACGGCAAACCCTTCCCATATGCCATAATTAACCCAGGATTGTGGTAGACTTCTTTTGAAAGATCAACTTCATTATTACATACACTATAAGGTTAGCACTTCTTTTTATTTCAGGCATAGTATATCACACTACTCTCTGCTTATCTGCTTACAATCTTCTCAAAGACTGTGTCTAGACTGCATCCCTTTTCCGTAAAAGGGATGCAAATTAGACACATCACAATTGCAAATGAAGCGGGGATTTAAATCCCCCCCGCTTCATTTGCATAAACATGGCTGCCACTTTTTTCCGGCTCGGAGCTTTGCCGGAAAAAAGCGCCAGTCTAGACGCGGATCTTTCGGAAAATAAAGCCTTTTCCGAAAGATCCCTTATTACTTATTTTAAGAGGAATATATACGATATATACCATGGTCATGCCAATTTTCTTCCACAATTTGATCTGAGGAAGTGGGTCTGGCTCACGAAAGCTCATCACCTAAGAAACCATCTTGTTAGTCTTCGAAGTGCTGCATAGTCCTGTCTTTTGTTTCAGCTAGTCCAGACTAACACAGCTACATCTCTATTATTATTCTCAAAGTGAGACTTTCCAGAGAAGGGCATGCTGAATCACATGTCTATCTGGAGCTTTGCATGATACAGTAAATATAGCTGCTTTTGTTTAAATGATTAGACATTAGAATTAACCAGCTGCATGTATTGTAATGTCTGACCCCATGTTATCCTTCTCAGCATATCTCGTGAACTCATTGCATGGAAATGCATTGAGACACCTCCCTTCTCAGATATACTAAGGCAGGGGTCTTAAGATATAAGCCTAAGTGGATGATGCCATGAAACGTGCAGGGGCTTTTTAAGTCACTCTTCCATGCCTAACTAGGAACTCTGGTGCTCTATGTCTCTTTCCAGCCTGGGTGGTCAGGTGATACAAGACTAAAGTGGCATCCAGGGGGCCACCACCACTTTGGATTTGCTTTCTGCAGGTTTCCTTTTTCCAACAGGAGCCTGCAAAACCCAGTGCTCTGTGTGAGGAATGTCTGACTTTCAAAGAGGTACCATTATAAACCTTGCTGCACTGAGACGAACAGATACCCTGAAGTAATGTTCAAATTATACCACTGAATCTCCAGTTGGAAATTTTTATGGAAATAAATCCTGCACTGCCATGGATAGGAAAGATCATTCTTTATACTCTGTATTTTGTCCTGTCTGGGGCAGAGCGAGACTTCAATCTTGTGTGAGCGGCCTTGAAGCCCTAATATAAATCTAGCTCCAAGATGTCTGAAAAATAATGACCCTATCCAGTATTTTACTTCGGTACTCTAAGAAACAAATCCTTGCCATTTCTTTATTGTTTACTAAGGCCTTCTAGTTTTAATTATTTCCCATGTTGTTTTCTGCTGATCATTCTCACATACAGTGGAGTCCTCAGTGAAAGAAAACTAGAGGGATGAAGTTTTGACCATTTATAAATTAACCAGTTTCTGAGTACATCAGAACAGTCCAACTGGGTGAGACAAACGGTCCATCTAGCCCAGTAGCCTGCTTTCCAACAGTGGCCAATGCACATCCATGCATTGTTCAACAATGTCAGTTTAAAGCACAGTTTAATTTAATACAGCAAGGCTCTTGGAATAGTTAATATGCTTTCAGCCATTGAAATTGATGTAATTACATCTCCTTTACCTTGATGCTTACAAAAAATTTAACAACAATTAGTATTCTGTTGTGCTGAGACCTTATGTGTCATACTGGCCAATTGTCTCTTTGTTTCCTTGTACTTTTCTATTTATTTGTATCCTCCTGTCAGGGCTGGCCCGAGCTATTCTGGCACCCCGGACACGGGCATGCGGCACTGCCCCCGGGTGCACGGCACATGCGTGGCCCCGCCCCCCCATGGACCGTGGGCCTGTGCCCAGGGTGCACAGTGCATGCGCGGTCCTGTGTCATACTGGCCAATTGTCTCTTTGTTTCCTTGTACTTTTCTATTTATTTGTATCCTCCTGTCAGGGCTGGCCCGAGCTATTCTGGCACCCCGGACACGGGCATGCGGCACTGCCCCCGGGTGCACGGCACATGCGTGGCCCCGCCCCCCCATGGACCGTGGGCCTGTGCCCAGGGTGCACAGTGCATGCGCGGTCCGGCTCGCTGAGCTGCGGGCGGGGCAGCGCTGCAGGAGCCGGGTGCACAGTGCCTGATGGCAGCTGTCAGGGACGCTGCACGCCCTTTACAGCTGCCATCAGGCACCCCCCAGCAGTTGGTGCCCTAGGCAGCTGCCCAGCTCACCCACCCCTCAGTCCGGCCCTGCCTCCTGTTGTCTCTTGTCCAATTTTTAAATTGTGATTTGGGACAGGGCAGTCCTTTCCCCCCCTGTGTTTGTACAGCACCTAGCACAGTGGGCTTCTGGTCCATGACTAGGACTTCTTGGCGCTATTATAACACAAACAATAAATAATACATATGGGCAGTTTTCTAGAAACAAAAATTCCAGTTCTTACAATACTATTGAGAGTTATTTTCTCATTAAGAGTCCTCCTTGCCTAGTAGGTCCATCACATTATACACATACTGCAATTGCTTATGTAGTCCTCTGACCTTTCATGCGGTACAGTAGCAATTGACCTGTGACTGGAATTCCAGCAGTGTTTTTTATTCAGAATTCTCCTTTGCCTAATCTAAATTTCTATTCTTTGATGAAGAATGCATCTTTCAAAACAAATATCAATCTCCTAAAACTAAGCCCCATACAAATCATCTTGTATTAGTGTAATTATATGTAGCAAGTGTCAATTCTAGGTTTTCCATGCATATTTTAATAGCAGAAAAATGAACACTCTGTGTGAATGAAAAATGCACCTAATTTTGTCACCTAATTTTGTGGGCCTATAAATAAAGTAACTGGTGCTTGTGGGCAAGTTAAGTCTGTGTGAAAAGAGTGCTGCATGGTCAATTGTAGCTGAGACCCGTAAATACAAAACGGTGCATGGCCAATTGTAGCTGAGACCCGTATATACAAAACGTTGCATGATCAACAGATAAGTGTGAACAACAAGCACACACTCACTTTGTGCATGCAATTCAAGTAACGATGTGAGTAGAAAATAGGGGTTTGCAATGGTGCAAAGTTGTTTAGTTTGCATAGTAATCATAGGCTTAGGCCCACAAATGGCACGTTATGGTTATTATGTATTAATATTATGTATTTTTAGGTATCTTGCTGCTGGTAGAATTTAAATCTGAGAGTTACGTGCTCAGCTCAGAGTTATGTGCATTGCAGAGGGAAATCAGGTGCCTAAGAATGTGATTCACAGAGCCAACAAGCTGATGGAGGCGCTGCTTAAACTAACCAATAGGAAATACTCAGGAAAGAGGTGGGGGCTAAGTCCTCCGAGTCAGTTAAGTGTTTAATTCTATGCTGAAGGGAGGCACCTTTCTCTGACTGAGCTGCCCAGTTATGAACCTTCTGTTGGAGTCAGGTTCCTAAATCAGGTCAGTCCTTTCTTGTGAAAACACAGAGACCTTCCTCCCGCAGCCGCATTATGGCCAATACCCAGGGGTCTGGGCACTGAACTGAGATATGGGAGACCTGTTCTTAAATCCCTGCTCTGCCTGCTGTCAACCACAGACCAGATCTACCACATTATAGATGAGTGTCCTAGTGATCAGGATGTTCTGGCTTGAGTCTCTTTCAGGATCTGTCTCTGTTTGAACTGGGGATTGTGGTAACTATCTTTCACATACATACTCATGCTAGTTCTGCCTGAGCTAGCCCCTCAAAGTAGCTGTGTGTCCATGGTGGCTTGAGCCTGCCTATTGAATACATACCTGAGAGTAGGTGGAATGGTACTCATGGAAGTCAGCCTAAGCAGCAGTGCTAGTTTTACATGCTAGCTCAAGCAGAGCTAGCATGGCTATGTCTGTGCATGCTGAGAATCACCCCCGCCCCAGTCTAAATGGAGCCATAGCCTCAATATTTCCCATTGAAGCTGCTTCACTTTGTATGAAATAATTTCTAGGTTGGGGGCAGCAGGAAGAGAGACATAGAGAGAAATTAACTCCATAGCTCAGAGGTTACTGCATTCTCTGGCATGGAGAAAACTCACATCCAGGTTCCTGCTCTAAATCACTCAAGTACAAACCTAAGTCTCCCTCACCCAGGTGAGTGGTCAAACTGCTGGGGTGCGTCTACACTAGCAAGATTTTGCGCAAAAGCAACTGCTTTTGCGCAAAAACTTGCCAGATGTCTACACTGGCCGCTTGAATTTGCGCAAGAGCACTGACTTTGTAATGTACAAAATCAGTGCTTCTTGTGCAAATACTTTCACGTTCCCGCTCGGGAAAAAGCCCTCTTGTGAAAGAATACTTGCGCAAGAGGGCCAGTGTAGACAGGGAAGAACTGTTTTGTGCAAAAAAGCCCCGATGGCTAAAATGGTGATCGGGGCTTTCTTGCGCAAAATCGCGTCTAGACTGGCCACGGATGCTTTTGCGCAAAAGCACTTTTTGCGCAAAAGCATCTGTGCCAATCTAGACGCGCTTTTGTGGAAATACTTTTAACGGAAAAACTTTTCAGTTAAAAGTATTTCCGCAAAATCATGCCAGTGTAGACGTAGCCCTGATGTATTGGGCATAATTGAACAAAGCCCCTCCCCAAAAATTCCAGGCTGTCCTTTTCTCTGAGATCAGTGGAGAAATGCCTAGTTTGAAAATACTGCTGCAGCTTAGGCATGAGTGAAGGTACTGAGCAGGTTGGCTGTGACTTAGACTTAGGTGGCTTTGCACATGCCCAGTGCCTCCAGAATGATGTTATAGCTGAGTGGGTTTTTTTAAAAGTTCTTGGTGGCACTTAAATATTGGATTTAGACACTTTAGGTGCTCAAGTCTTTTGGACTTCTTGTCCATGCTGATTGTAAACATAGGGTTGCCAGATGATTTCTGAAAAAATACTGAAAAAAAAGGACCCCGAGAGTTGTTAAGCAAAAAAACCCCCCAAAAGCAAACCAAAACCAAAACCCACCAACATGGCACCTTTAAGAAACACTTTGCTTTTGAGGCTTTTTGGCCCTAACAGATTGCCGGTGGCCACCCGCCAACTTTCCTCCCTGCGCCGGGACGGACAGCCCCCTGCGGAACCCGGTAAGCACCCGGGATTTTCGCCTCTTGGCCAGGAAAAAATCAGAAAATACTGGATATTTTTGGTGTCCGGTATTTTCTGATTTGTTTTACTGGACAGGAGGTGAAAATACCGGACTGTCCGGTTCAATACTGGATACCTGGCAACCCTATGTACACATAAACAAGGCTTTTTCATGTGCATTTAAAAATATATCTATTTCCTGCTTAAGAATACGGCTATTAATGCATAAGTACCTTGTCTATAAGCAATGGTTAAAGGACAGAATGACTTCAATGGTCAGTGACAACGTTAGAAACTAGGGAACTGTTAACATATATTACCCAGCTAATGTGATTATTTTAACTCTATTTGTGTTTGTCAAAGGCTTTGGGGAATTTAAATGAAACTTTAATAGAAAAATAACAGATTTTTATATACTCAACTGCAATTTTGGACTAAAAAATTAGCAAACTGTGATTTTAGAGTACATTCAGTCTTTGACTCATGCAGAGTCATGTATATAAAAGGTGTACAAACAGAAAAACAACAGGCTTTGGTTTTGCTTGATTTTTTGAGTTTAATCATTTAAAAATCTGGGAGTTCATTGTTTTGATATTTAATTTAATGTGTACATTGAGTTTACTAACAGTGTACTGACCTTGGAAATGGTGTGCTATTTTACAGTGTGCAGTGACATTTATGTGCTCAGTTGGATTCCAATAAAGAGGTTAATTTTCATAGATTATATGTCAAATTTGATATAGCAAGAGGTAATTTAATACTTTTGCATAGTCCATTTGCACTCATGGTTGGAGCAGTTGACTGGACAATTCTCTTTACAATAGAAATTGTATGAAATACAGAAAAGGAAAAAGAGGAATCTTTTGAGGAAAAGAGGAAGTTATATATAATGAGAGCATTAAAATGATTCTTTGTATAGTTTCATTAAACAGAAAAATCTCCACCGATTTTGTGTGTCAAGTAATGAATGAGTAATTCACGTTAGATAAAGTAATTCAGATTCTGTGTATGAGTATTTAAACATCACTGTTGAGTTGCCATCAAAAGGGCTCTTAACTAAAGCAAAGTAGAACACAAATACCTACTCTTGGTCTCGAGATAGTTTTCAGGTAGCTATAAGTTATAAACTCCAGCAATTTACAGTCACAGAATGGCAAGCTGGGATTTATTTGGGGGTTGTAAAATGTTGTCTGTCTTGTTTTGGTTTTTCAAAATAAAAACCCAGGAATTGTTTGGAGCTGAACCTCATTTTATGCAAATCACCATAGGATACAGTATATCATTTCTGGTTCTTTTCTAGTCTGTCAGTATGAAAAATTCAAAATACAGTCTCAACAGTCTTGTCTCCCTTTTGTTTGGCTCCATCTATGCTAGCATTTAAAATGGTGCCCTTTGAATTTTATGTGCCTTTTCAGCTATTAAATTACAGGTACATCTGCAACAAAGCATTTATCAGAAACTATATTGGAATTAAAAGATTAGACTCAATTTGCCTTTAAAATGAGTCTAAGAACCTTTTCATGGAAAATTAAATATAATCAAAATGAGTCAGAACTTCCTGACAGCATAGTTCTAACAAGGAAAGTAGGGAGACATTGATCAAAAACACTGACTTCTAGTATGGCCCTATCTTTTCACTCAACACTTTTTTTTTAATGTTATGCCATTTAGTAACAAATTTGAAACTTAAAATAATTTCTAGAGTCTGATTTTAAGTTATTCCTTATTTTAGTTCTAAAGCAAATTGTCTAGAGTGATTTCTGATAGGATTCCCAAATCTTTCCAAAGGATGTGAGTCACCTCTCCGTTATTTGTAGAGAATATTGAAAAAGTCAAATGTTCTTTTGTGGGCATTTGGAGTGGGATGTTAAAGTAAAAAATAGATGGGCTGTTGATCATCATGAGTCACTTCTTGGGAAGCAAACAAGAAAAACAGCACCCTAGCAGCTGACCCATTGCCATTTGTGCCAGCATGTTGCTGCTGACTCAAGAAGTAGATATTGACAGCTGCAGAATGTACTGGAGTTTTGATAGGATTAATACAAATGGAGAATTTGGGGCGGGGGAGGGGGGAGGTTCAGGGGCATCATCTGTGTTAATTTCTGGGATTTTTAACATCTTCCTTAATTTCAAATATCTTCACTAGTTTAAATACCTCAAAATGGCTGTAAATTAAAAATAATCATGAAAATATAGGGCTGGAAAGGGCCTCACAAATTAATCAAGTCCAGCCCCCATGCACTAAGGTAGGACTTAGTAAACCTAGACATTTCCTGGTAGTTGTTTGTCCAACCTTTTCTTAAAAACCTTCAATGATGGGGATTCCACACCTTCTTTGTAAACTTATTCAATTACGTAACTATTTTTAGAGTTACAAAAGTTGTTCCTAATACCTACTCTAAATCTCCCTGGCTGTAGATCATGTCCCTTACATCATGTCCTACCCTCAATGGACATGGAGAGCAATTGATCACCAGCTTCTTTATAGCAGCTGTCAAAACTGTTATCAACTCAATCAGTTTTCTTTTTTCAGCACTAATCTTGCCCAGCTTTTTAGCCTTTCGTCATAAGTCAGGGTTATTTATATCTTTAATTACTTGTTTTGCCCTCCTCTGGATTCTTTCCAATTGAGCCACATCTTTCCTAAAGTGTGGTATACAAAACTGGACACAGTACTCCAACTGAGGCCTCAACAGCGTGAGTAGAGCAGGACAACTGTTTCTTACATTTGACACTGTTGTTAATACACTGTTGTTAATACACTGTTATTAGAGTTATAATAGCCTTTTTTTTACACCACCACCACATTGTTGGTTTATATTTTATTTGTGACTCACTATTACCGCCATATCCTTTTCAGCAGTCCTACTGTCTAGCCAGTTATTCTTCATTTTATAATGGCCCTGTAATGAACATTCAGCTAGGTGACGTGTGTGGAAGTGTTCACCCAGTAAGAGAGGGCTGTACCCTGCTACAGCATGTTTTCCCTGGGATCACTAAACCATTATATCTGAACAGGGGAATTCATAAGGTTGAGCTACACTGCACCAGTTTAAAGTGTGAACTGCATTGGTGCATGGCTCAGATACAGTGTAGAATTAAGGTTTAGGTGGATCAGGCCCTCTCAGGCATCAAGTGGGACAAAGAAACCTCCTGCAGTTTGCATTCAGGCCTAATTTATGTGCAGTATCAAAGTGCTTTTAATTTTAAACATGCATGTTATATTATGCTCAGCTATGCAACTGTGAGACTAATGTGCTTGTTTGATAAATGGGGACACAGGGTGCGCTCTGTCTAAATGTCACATGACAAGCATTTTCAATCAAAGAGTGAGCAACTCTGTAACCCAATGGCTGTCCAGTGACCTATAGGCAAAGCTAATAGGTTTCTTTGATTTTCTTTTCAAACCCACAACATTTTTGAAAAAAATAGTGTGAGGATTTTTTGATTGGTTTTGGTTGAGACATGAGTCATTGTCTTTGCTTATGCAAAATGTACATGTTTTGCGCATTGCTGGATGGCTTTGGAGGTGTTTGAATGTTATACAAATATTTGTATTTAGCCAATTTTGTCTCTTTTGTCAGTTTATTCTACAAACTATTTCTGAGTCTCTGACCAGCTCTAGAGGATGTAAATTATTGTAATATAATCACTGAAATTTAAATACTTGAGAATTCATTGTATTATTATATATGGTTAAATGCTCACCATCATACATACGATAACTTTCTGATCATTCATCTAAGTGGTTCTGATACTAAAATAACCTGCTTGCATGCAAATAAATAGTATTTCTATGGATGACTTATACTGATCAGGCAGCTCAACTGGGATCCACTAAATAACACAGATGTGTTCATTATATAAACTACCTGCAAAGCATATACGATGCAATATACAATGTATTTAGTAATGTATAGCTTAGTCACACATATGAATCACCAGCACATTCAGCTTGTCATAGATGAATTGTAATGGAGATTGTTTAAGCAGCACACTTCTAGCTATCTTCCTAGGTTTCTTTTACAGGAAAACTCATTGCAGAATATGAGGTGTTTAAATTGGAGCTGCCTTTGTGGAAAAAACATTCCAAAATGTAAGTATACTGTAGACTTCAGTAACAGATTAACAAGTAACATGCTGAATTTCTCACATACACATCTTATCTAATATATTGCTGAAATTATGCACAAATGTTTATGCTCTAATATCAATTTATGCAAATCTGACATTTGTTCTACTGAAGATTAACTTAGATTAAGAAAAAATGGCTCAATATGCCTATTCATTATTTCTTAATGTCAATCAGAGGGTTCATCGGGCCACTTCAGATCCTTGTGAAAGGCACCTTTGCAGCTTCTGATCTGATAATAACGTTCAAGTTCCAGCCCTGGCACAGATGATCTCCAGCCTATAAATCCTTGAGTTGTTTTAGGGATTGGAGGTGATGGGTAGACCTGAAATAGAAGTAAGTAAATAGAATCCAGTGATTAAGTGCATTTTCTTGTTCATTTCTATTGTATTGCCATGCAACATACTGTTTTGTATTTCAGTGTTGATGGAATAGACAATTTCTTTTCAAGTGGTATTTTAAATGAAAACTGATGAATACTAACAGTACTTCAAAGTTTAAATGAAGTCTCTCTTTAAAGTAGTGCCAATTATATACTGCTCCATCTTACATGGTGCTTTCAACTTCTATTAAAATCAATGGAAATTGATGGAACTAAAGACCTCCAGGAGTTGACCAACACCTTACTGGATCTAGACCACAATACAGAAGTCATCATTAAAAATATCTAGAATAGCTGGGAGATTATTCTATAGCAAACTATGTGGGAACATTTTAAATAGCAATTAAAATATTAAGAAGTTCTGGTTAAGCAATTGTTTTTTTGACTAACAGGCCTAAAATTAGTGCAATGCCTACATCAGTGTGGATGGAAGAAAATAAGTTAGTTCAAAGGTAATAAACAAGAGGTAATCAGAAGTTAAAAGGAAAGCATTCCATTTACCAGCCAGTCTTCAATTTTTATCAACATGCATCTGATTTTTAAAGTTCTCTACTATTGAAAGAAAAAAAATTATGAAAAAAAATTAGCTTTAATGTAACTTGGCAGGAAGGGCTTAAGTGTTTAATAGATTTTAGATTATTGCTTCTCATCATTAACTTTGTTTAATGAATTACAGCTTTGTTTGGTTTTCACTGTTAGAAGCAACATTTAATACCACACTTTAATTGTTTTCCAACTAAAAAATATTAAAATAATCTCTGGGTAGATGATAGTTCTAAATCGGGGAATCAGACATTTTGGTACCAAACTGGATAAAGCATACCAAACAGGCTTTTGCATAAAAAATGACTTCTTCTTTAAAGTCTGTTTCTAGCATAAAAGATAGTTATGTATCGAGTTAATCAATAAGAGGGAGAGAAAACACAAGCCAGAGTTCTCTATTCACTGGCAGCTCTGCTTACTTTGACTGAATCATCCCATTAAGGCACATTAGAAGTGCTCTCTGTTGTACCACTTTAACATCTGGGCACTTACTCAGTAGAGAAATATACAGTGAGAGAACAATGTTTCAGTTTATTCTTTTGCCAGAGTTGTTTTGCTTTATTCCTTGGCCAAGACTGGAAAATGTTTTTTGAAATTTAGGTGGAGCACTTCCTTTGAAGAGATGATTTTGTTTTGCCATAAATGCCACCCACTGAGCAAGATAATGCAGAAAACTATGCTCCACCTCTATTCTGCAGGAAGAAGAAAGGGACAAAAGGGCAAGAGGTTTATATGTCTAACTCAGCCAAAGGAACAGACATGGTATTACTGTGCATTGCCACAGGAGAGAGAAAATGTGATAATTTCAAATCACAGTTTAGAAAATCTTGATCTTGATCTTCATGTAAAAGGAAAAAATGCATGTCAAAGGTTAAGTCTTGGCCTCTGTTTCTGTGCACACAGCACTTGCTAAACAGGCAGATCTTGCAGCTGAGTGATCAGCTGCCAAATTTGACGAACTGCCCAAGATAGGAGCAGATGTAATTACTTATACTCACAAATTAAGGGTAGATCCAGACTGTAGCTAAGAAGTGTAATTCACAGCTCAGGCTATGTCTACACTACTCCGATCTATTGGAAAAAGTATTTCAGAAATTTGGTCCGTCTACACTGGGCCAAATTTCAGAAAAACCTCCTCTTTCGGAAGAGACCTTCTTTCTTGTGGCACAAGGAAGACAGGGCTTCTGAAAGAGAGCATCTGTTATTCCGAAAGTGGAAGAGCAGGCATGTTCCCTGGACATGGCAGAGTTTTTCAGGGATACCAGAGGTATCCCAGAAAAACCCTGTAGTGTAGACATAGCCTCAGGTAGCTGCGCATGCTCGAGCTCTGCTTGTGCTGGCATGCTAAAAGAAGCAGTGTGGTCCAAGTGGCCTGGCTGGCAGCTCAGGCTGTCTGCCTGCCCAGGTGTAACTGTGGTATGGACTCTGACAGTTCACCCAAGTTGCCATTCATGCTACTACAGCCACAGTTATTTTTAGTGCACTAATTGAAGCAGAGCCGATAAAAGTATGTCTACCTGAGCTGGGATTCACATTCCAGCTGCTGTGCAGACATACCCTAAAAGTGCAGATACCAGTAAGCTTGGCTCTGACTTAAATATTTGAACACTATTTAAGAACGTGAAGCACCAGAAATGGTGGCACTTTTAAAGTTATAATATTTTGCATTAACTTTTTCTCTAATTTTCAGTAATTTTGATTTTTCTAACAGCTTTTTTTTATTATTATTTTTGTAAATCCCTTATTTTTTTCACCACAAGGTGGAGTTTCTAATATTACTTTCTTCCATAAAGTGGTATACATCTTAATGGAGATGTTGTCTCATGGACTAATCTACTGTCTCATTGGCAATCACATAACCCCCAGTTCACCTCCTATTTGTGTGACTATATATCCTTCTCAGCAGCAATTAGCAGTTCCAGTAATTGCTTATTGGAAGAGAAATATTAAGAAATTGTATGTATTATTGGCTGTGTTTAATATGAGCCAGCAGCAGGAAACAAGAACAACCAACACCATATCACAATTCAGCTCTTAGCAGACCACCAGTAATTCATGAATATATTGCTAAAAGGAAAAGGTTACAAAACTAGGCAAAAGGAGGAAGAAGACTTTGCTTCCTACTTACAGGCAGATTCTGTAATAATACTGATAGAGACACAGGTATTCATAGCTATCTGAATATATAGCTATGGAACTGGAGTGCTCACCCAATAAAATGATTATATAAGACCCCGATTTAAAGAAATCTGCCCATGTAATCCATTATTCCAGCACAGATCTGATCAGTTCAGTGGGACAAACTAAGCGCCCTCCCCCCTCCCCACACACACACAGTGGGTCCAGCCTGGTGCATGATGGTCAGCAGAACTTCAGCTCTGCTGGAGCAGCTGCTGTCCATGGCGGGCCTGCCTCCGACGGAGCAGTATGCCACATGTGGGGTACTTCACTTAGCTGAGGTTAACCACGTAAGCATAATGTTTATTTTCAAACATCTGTTTCAGACATCTAAAAGATAATAAGGTGATAAGTAACAATTATTTCAAACCAACCTTCCACTCAGGAAGAAACAATCAGTTTCACGCATATAAAATGGGAAATGACTGCTTAGGAAAGAATACAGCAAAAGAGATCTAGGGGTCATATTTGACCACAAGCTAAATATGAGTCAGCATGGTAACACTATTGCAAAAAAAGCAAACATCATTCTGGGATGTATTAGTAGGATGCTTCTAAGTAGGACATGAGAAATAATTCTTTTGCTCTCCTCTGTGCTGATTAGGCTTCAACTAGAGTATTGTGCCTGTTTTGGGCACCATGCTTCAGGAAGATGTGAATACATTGGAAAAAGTCCAGAGAAGAATAAGAAAAATGATTAAGCCACCAAATGATTAAGACAATCAGCTGAGCCGGCACAGCGTGGCGGCCATTTTTATTTTAATGAAGCCTGGGATATTTAAATCCCCACTTCATTGACTATGTCGGGTAGCCTATTTTACATACCTCTGTTAGCAGAGGCATATAGTCTAGACATACCCTAAGAAGGATTATAATGAATAAAATCCAGAAAATATATTTATTTCAGAAAAGACAAAGGGTTCCTTTTTACAAAGTTGTTGAAGTTGAAAAATGGTGGTTAAAAATGGGTTATGATAAATCTTGAAATCATTGAGAGATGGGAGGCAAGGATGGGGTAGGAGCTTCCATAGTGCTACCGCCTCCCGCTTACCACCTGAGATGATTGATCTGATGCTATGTTACACAGGAGGTTAAAGAGGAGGTTATGCTCTATCATAACAGTTGATTGTTGTACAGTGAAATCTATACTAACAACCACATCCAATGAGCAATTCTTTGTCTTAAGTGAACACTTTAAAGTATCTCTGAGGTTTCCAATACAATTTACTTCGACCTTTAGTTGAAGACCTGTCTCTACTAGGTGATTGAGTTTAGTGCTTGGGTGACTGCTTAAGACAGATTTAACCTATATTGCAGTTTTTAAATCTATTGTCTAACCTTGATGTATTTTTCCACTGGTGTCACAGGTCGGATTTGTAAATGTTCTGGAAGTTCTATCTTCATCTTAGTAGGTTCTTTCTTTTCATCTTTTATCAACTAAAAATAGAATACCAACATTAATCAAAAATAACACTTGGGGCTAAGATATGTGTTGTCATAGCATTTTAAGATCTGATATCTATATTATCCCCCTCACTATGGTATCTGTGTACTGTGTTCTTGGCACCCATACAGTATTATTTTATTATATATCTTCGGAAGCTATTCTAATACACTTGTTAGTTTCAGAAAGGGCTTTTATTCTGAATTTAAGACAGGCTGAATCTTGCTGACCAGTGAGCACCCTCCATTCTCACTTCACTGAATCGAGGAGACTTCAAAAATTGTTTTTTTTTTTGTTGCAACAAGCTAAAAATGCATAATAAAAGTGCCAAATACATTTGTAATATACAGTAAATACAGATTGAACCTCTCTAATCCTGCACTCTGGTCTGGCAACATCCGTGGTCTGGAATGATTTTAGTTAGCTGGATGTCCACTTACCATGAGTGTGGCCAAGTTTCCTGTGGTCCTATAAAGTGTTTACAGTGACCAGTCCTGGCTCTCAGTGTTCAGTGCTGTTATTTAGCTCTAATTTACCCGTAAGTGTCTTCTGAGAGCTCAGTAAGCAGTGAAAGTGTTGGTAATGCTGCTAGAAAATATTAACGTCCATGGTTTGGCAAATTCTCTGATTCAACACCAGTCAGGTTCTGAGGGCACCAGACTAGAGAGGTTCAACCTGTAGTAATATATAGCATTAGACATATTGGTTAAAGCTTGTATCATGATTTTCATTTGTAGATCTGCAAGTGCTGTACAAAGGTGGACAAATATAATTTACCCTGTTTTTAAAGATGGGTTAATGAAGCCTTGAGGACCAGATTTTCAAAGATACGTAGACACCTAAAAAAGTGGATGAGCAATAGGACTTTGGCACCTATCTTTCTTAAGCACTTTTGAAAATCCCTTTAGACATCTATTTGAAAATCTGGCCCAGAGAGAATAAAAGTCTTGTCCAAAGTCACACAAGTCAGTGGTAGAGCCGGGAAAGGAGCCCACATGCCCAACTATCCAATCTGTGCTCTAGCCATTGGACCATAATAAATACACATACAAAGTTGCAGCCCCTTTCTGTTACTGGTCTTTGTATTGTTGCAATTTGTTTTAAGGGCACTTAATAATTCTTTCAGGACATTCAGTACAGGAAATATTATGCAGAAACTAGTCCCACACAGAAGATTGTGTCAGATAACCAATTAAGTGACTTACATTTTACTGAATTTAATCTGCATCCTGCAATGTTTAAATATACAGGCCATGAACCTGTTCCCATTTAAACCAGTGGGAGGTTTTCTGTTGAATTCAGTGGCACCATTAACCCTATTTAAGTAGAAATTATAAAAGCACACTGCAGATTTCCTCACTGAAAATTAAATTACTTAAATCCTTGCCCCCTTCAATTTTAAAAATATTTTATGGACCAACAAAAGGGAAATATTTTCCTGACATTACATCTAGTTTCTGTCACCACCACCACTAGGAGTTATGTGTGTTAAGAGGAACATTAGGATATGTACAACATATGAAGTACAACTTGTATTTTATTCTGAAAAAAATGGAAATATCATCTTAAAGGATCCCTGTTTGTTAGTACTCCTACAAATATGTCTCCAAGGCCACGTCTACACTACAGATAAGATTGAAGCAGCTGCAGTCTATCTTTTGGGGGTCGAATTAGAGGGGCTAGTGAAGACATGCTAATTTGAACTGAGAGGGCACTCCCATCGACGCGGTAGTCCTGCGTCTGTGACAAGAGTGTGCTCCCTTCAACTTCCTGCAGTGTGGATGGTGTCAAAATTCAAGTTAAGCTACTTCAATTTAAGCTACGTAATTAATATAGCTGAAGTTGCTTAATTTGAACATAGCTCCTAGTGTAGACCAGTGGCAAATTATTAGTGCTTATCTACACTGATTTGGTCCATTCATGTATTATGAAAATGAAGATCAAGATTCCTTGGAGAGGTATGTTTTGCATGGCTTTCAATAATAATGATTCTTAGCTGAAACTCATAACTTAATATTCTGGAGGTATACTATTTACGTATGTTTTATACACATGCTATATCAAATTTAGTTTTACCTCCTCAAAAGGTGTTGTTAAAAAACCCCATTTGATGGACCATTTCTTTGCAGCTTCAAGTTCAGATTCAACGTGACATTTCCTGAAGCAGACAGAAATTATACTTGAAAAGACTATCCAAAAGATCATTAATGTTACAGCAGTGGCTGTTAATCCATGAGAAAACAAGGGAAAGAATCTGTCAATGAGAACAGATCTGATTTCCTATTTCTTATGTGTCAATTAAGCAAGTATACCCATCTGAGAGAACAGCAGATAAAAGTTTAATAAACATACAACAACTGTGAATGTTGCTTAGAGTTTAAGCAAAATTGTGGGAAAACTGTTTTCCATTAAGAATTATACGAGAATTTACAAATGTGTTCATTTATTCAAGTCTCAATGGGGTAGCCGTGTTAGTCTTTATCTGCAAAAACAACTAAGGAGTCCCGTGGCATCTTAAAGACTAACATTTATTTGGGAATAAGCTTTCATGGGTAAAAACCAATCCATGCATCTGAAAAAATAGTTTTTACCCACGAAAACTTATGCTCAAATAAATCTTAGTCCTTAAGGTGCTTCAGACTCCTTGTTGTTTTTCATTTATTCAATTCACTGAGGCTACGTCTACACTGCCCTCTCTTGGGCAAAAAATATGCAAATGAGGAGAAGCGTGGAATATGGCCGTGCCTCATTTGCATAATTCACAAGGCTCTGTTTTTGCGCAAGATGCTTCTGCGCAAAAAGGAGCCATCTACATGGCTCCTTTTTATGCAAAAACTCCCTTTTGCACAAGAGCCGTTCTTCCACTTATTTTCAGGAAGAACAGCTCTTGCACAAGAGGAGATTTTTTGACCAAAAACAGAGCCTAATTAATTATGCAAATGAGGTGCAGGGATATTCCAAACTTGCCACATTTGCATATTTTTTTGTGCAGGAGAGGGCAGTGTAGATGTAACCTGAGTGATTGTTGAGGACCTTTAAAAATGACCAAACACCTTGAAGAAACAAAAAGGTCTTAATTAGAAAGGAATGAGTTATTGTATAACTCTGTTCATAATTACATGTACACTTGTTGTTCATTCATCTATTTTTCTGACCATAAGAAAGGACTTTGCTTGCTATCTTTCGTAAGCATGATTACTGCCTGCCACTCTCACCAATATACATCATACACAAACATAGGTATACATGAGAAAAATGAGTGTAGCAAAAATCATACCAAAGACTGCAGAATGCTGCAGGTATTGATGAATAAAACACATAAGCAGCTCACCTCCCATTCATGTCTCATCTGCTTAGCTTTTCTATCAGCTGCATACTTAGTAGGGTTTTTTAAAATTAAAATAGGTATTTAATTTCATAGAGATATCAAAGATTTTCAGGAATTTTACACAGTATAACACTTATCAGGCAAAATCTGTCATATATATCCAGAGATGAGGGCAAAAAGGGAGAGAGGGATGGGAATAGTAACAAAAGGCAGTGCTATATGTAATAGATAATATAGATACATCAGAAGTATTTATCAAGAAACCAGAGAGATGGGTGGAGGTCAGTGGAGCCAGTGATGGGAGGAAATGAGAAGTGGGCTAGGAAAGGTCACTGGAATAAGGTCCTGGGGATGGGCACAAGTGGGACAGGCTGTGTAATGTGCTTGAGGCGAGACATGGGCACCAGAACTATGCCTAAAGGATTGAGGTCAGGAGCCATGTGGGATGGGGTGAACCATGTGGTAGAACGGGGTGGGGAACCAAGGGCCCGGGGACTGGATGTGGTCCCCGGCTTGCCTGCATCTGGCCCCTGTGGCTCAGGGCTCTCTCCTAGCATTGGGAGCCCGCGCTGGCACTGCAGTCCCCTCCGTTGCCCCACTAGGCTCTGGTGTGTGAGGGAAATGTGTGGAGTGTCTTTCTCCTCAGTTGGGGGTATGGTTGCCAGATGGTTTCAACAAAAATACCGAAATGCTTGACATTACATCACAATCTACATTACATCTTATTTAGAAAATACCGGACATTTGTATTGTCTCACTTATATTTTCTCAATTTGTTTCCCGAACAGAAAGCTCAAATACTGGACTGTCTGGTTCAAAACCATACACCTGGCAACCCTCGTTGGGGGGCACGTCAGAGAGGGTTTGTTTGTTTTTTTTCTCACTTGTGTGCGGCCCCTGACTGATTTTTCTGTGGGTCAGCAGCCCCTGACCCCAAAAAAGGTTTCCCATCCCTGTGTTAGAGGGATGTGTGAGTTTTGGGAAGGGGTAATGTCTAGCATTTTGGGCAGGAATAGAGACCACAGAGTGAAAGGAGAAGTTTAGGGAATGAGGGTTTGGAGTTGAGTGGACGGGGAGGAGACCTCAGTGGAGGGAGTAGATTGGGGTAGAGACCTGGGCGGGGGGAGTCAGAGCAAGAGGCTGGGAGAGGAGATTCAGGTGGTGACCCTGGCTAGGAGGTGGAGCAAGGGGTTGGGAGAGAAAACTGAGGTTGGGAAGCCACAGTGAGAGGCAGGGGCGGATATAGGGCAGGGTGAGCGGGGCGGCCGCCCCGTGCCCCTCGCTTCAAGAAGCCCCGCACATGCGCCGTAGCAAAAGGGGGCCCTGCGAAATTGTGCTGCCCTGGGCCTCGCGAAATTGTCATCTGCCCCTGGTGAGAGGGATGGGGGCAGGGAGGAGATTCAGATGGCGACTGGGAGGGGGGGAGTCAGAGAGAGAGGAAGGGAGGGGGGTTTACCAGATCTGATCCTGAGCCACAAAGTTAAATTGATGGGTGGGGTTGGTGCTTCTCTGTGCCATGATTTGGCACAGCCACCCATGCACTCTCCCCCCTCGCCTCCACTAGCCCCCTCCCCCAGCTGCTGGGCTAAGCCTTCTGGTGGCGCCAGTACAGCCTGATGCCTGGAACTGAGCCAGCCTGTCCCTGCCCTTTGCCACCTCAGGCGTTGCTAGGAGACAGTGGTGTGTTCAGGCTCCAGGGAGAAGTGAATAAGACCTGGCACCCAGCTCCCAGGCTCCCACTGCCCTTCCTTGTAATGAGCACCCTGCTGCTTGGATCACCCTATTCCCAACAGCCATAATCCACCATACATCTCAGCATCCTCCCTTCCCTGGGATGACCCAACTCGCTCACCCCCAGAATAGCTCCTCAGCACAGTGTCCCGCACCCAGCCACCGGGCAACTGCTCTCCAAGCCCAGAGGCTGCTGATTGAGAATGGGATTTCCAAAACCTCTGGCCCCAGACTACGAGCTGCCAAGAGCTATAAGCCCCACAAAAAGCCACAAGAAGGCACTATACCACTGTAACCCATAGCTCCAAAGCCAGAAAGCCTGCAGTCCCTGCAGAAAATCATCCTAAAACATCATTCCTATTCCAGAAAGCATCGAGAGCCACTCCCCCTTGTATGCCCCCAAAGCATTGGTAGGGTTCAGTGCCTTCCCAAAAGAAGCTTGAACCCCCCCCACACTACTAATCACTGTTAGTCCTAACCCCTCAAGATCCACGTAACCTCCCTAGCCCCCCACAAATCATTTTTAGCTTTTCCTTTTAATTCCCCCAGAATATTGTCTAGCCTGTATTTTAAAGGGAGCAAAAATATATGCACATTTTTATTTTTATTATTTAGATTGCAGTGGGATCTAGGCACCCCTGTCATGGACAAAATCCTGGTTGTGCTAGGCGCTGTGCAAACAGAAGCAAAAGGTGAGCCCTGTCCCAAAGAATTTACAATCCAGCTAATGCAATCTATTGTCCCGGTAGTACAGGAGTAGGAATAACACAGCAGCAGTTCACCAGGGTTACGCCCTGGCTGGCTGTCACTACTATATTTACCTGTACTCCTGCAGCTATGGGCAATTGCAGCTCCTTTTGGCCGTGAATTGCCATTCCTGGCTAATGGGAGCCTCAAGAAGCAGTGCGGACCAGGACATTGTTTCCTGCAACTCCCATTGGCAGGAATGGGGGTGCTGTAATCTCCTGTACCTTCAGAGGCACAGGTAAATATAGTGGCAACAGTCCACCAGGGGCTCACTCTGGCAAATTGGATCGGCCTGTGGGCCACTATTTGGCCACTGCTGCTGTAGTATATATAATTTTCCACTGGCAGGTATACTACTACTATGTACGTCCCCAAAACACGGTGACTTCTGATATAGCTCTGCAAAACAGTGTAATTAAGGAACTTTAGAATTATTACTACTTAATTGTGGTGCTTTCTGAGTGGCAATACAAACAGGTGTCCTTCAGGATCCAGATAGTTTTTAGAAAGCTTTTGGTTGTGTGCGCATCTTGCATGCAACTCTTAGATTTGCTAATTATTTTCATTTAATAAATGGAATTTGATGCACCAATACATTGTCAGGGTATAATCTGGGATGCTGCTCCAAATTTAATGGTCTGATTATTTATTCTGATGATCTTTCTTCTTGTTATTCTTCCCTCCCTCTGCTCCCTAACACTCTTATTGACAGACTTGTAATTTTAAGTGTTTGTTATTTTACAGATGGTGTTTTTCTTCTCAACCTACCCAAGCCCTAAAATGTGCTCGTCTGTAAAGAGTGGCAAAAACAAAAATGAGGGACAGAGCAAAAATAGCAGAAGAAGAATCTTAAAGGTGAGAGCAAATGAAGGGGGGACATAGGACTTTTTTGCTTCTTTCTGATGTGTGAAGAAGTCCAGTAAGAATTTTTTTGATTTTGAAACAATGATTAGAGAATTAGTAGGATTTTGACATAAAAATAACAAA